CCATGAGATGGAAGCTTGACGAGGATTCCGTGGTGCCAGACTCGATAGAATGCCTTGGAGATATCAAGTGCCACGACTAAGATTTCATAATATTTTTCAATAGATTGCTGTCATATATATGAGACGTAAACGAGCAGGTCGCCAGTTGATCTCTGATGACGGAAGCCGTATTGCCTATCGTTGATAATACCTTGATATTCCAGGTATTTCATGAGCTCGATGTTGATAGCTTTCTCCATGATCTTTGAAATAATAGATAGCAGTGCGATCGGTCTGTAATTGCTAGGTAGGGTCTTTTTGCCTTTTTCAGGAACTGGTTGTACTCTTGCAATTTTCCAGTTGGACGGGAATATCCCCAATTTGTAAGAGTAGTTGAATAACTTGCAGAGAACAGGTGTTAGTTCGGGAGCACATTTCTTGAGAACAATCGGTGGGAGTCCTACCTAATATAACGGCCTATAAGTAAGTGATACGTGGAAACTTCTAGGAAAGATGAAGTGGCCTATACCTTTTCATGAAAAATATAAATCCGACACTGATCCATATTATACACTTTTGTTGACTATTTCCTCGTACGTCAGGGGGCAGATAGTGAATGGGAGGAATCGAGGGGAGGGGGTAAAATTTCCTTTTGACCGGGTCGCATATGCAATTGATTGATTCCGCCGGGCGACGGTCCGTAAATAATTCATCCACGGGAATTAAGCGGTTCGTCGACATGCAGCCACCACCATACACGGGGACGGCATCGGTCGGTGGCGGTGCATCGAAAATCGATACGCATCGTACGGGGTCGTTCACGGAGAGGTTCTACAGTGGGTCTGAAAAAGGTGGCAGCAAATGGCAAACTTTCAAGAACTTATGTGAAGAAGATAAGTACGGAAGGATAATTCCTACTACCCGTTGTCTTATTACCCGTTTTCCCGTAGGAATGAAGCATTTTCCTGCGGTACAAAGAAGCCTATGTTCATCAGGGATAATGTCGGTTTTTAATGGTAAAAGAATTTTTCAGATCGTACCAGTAGTTTCGGAGCCTATTCGATACAACTTTCAAAGAGAAATATTTTTCATTCACATGTTGAGAACGAGAGCAGATTTGGTCTCGAAACGTCCGAAGATCGATATTTTTTCAATATATTTATGTTCCTTTTCATCAAACATTTTTTCAAACAAATTGTCACTGACTATTGGATTTTTCTTTTAGACCCCCTGATAGAAAAATTTTTTAAACGCAGTGACATTTTGGGACAAATCATCTGATTTGTCCCACTACAAATATATTGAAATAATACGAATATTTTGATTTTATAGAAACGAGAAGAGAAAATCCCAAAAAATCAAGTAAAACAGATATTTTATCGTTATAATATTGCTAGCAGACATCGCAAACGTTGTTTTGCTATATACATTATTTCTATAATATATTTTTTCTGCAACCGATACAAAAGTCGTCCATTTTGATACCAAAATTAGCTCTTAAATTGACGTTTCTATTACTGACACAAAAATAGGTATGTTGCTAGGCAACATATTTGGTTCCTATAGGAGCTAAAGTTGAATTTTAGTTCCTAGGAGCTAAAGTTGAACTTTAGCTCCTAGGAACTAAAAAGGATCTACTGGACGTCATCAAGAATAAACAACATTGTGACGGTTGGTTATTTGAGACGCATACCTGATTTGTTTCCGATTTCAGCAGATTTGGCATTTCATACCCATACTGATGGAGATATAAATACACCTTATTATAGTTTAGTATTGGAATTATAAATATCTCAGTTAAGTATTTTTGTTTTGATCAGGGAAGCCTTCAAGATTCAAATACTTGCTTGATCTGTATTTCATTCGTTATTCTCGGGATGGATAACTTGTTTTTGAATAATTACGGCAAGCAATAGTTTTTTTTTCTCAAACAACGATATTGTTTAGCTTCATTTGATTATCAAGGCGAACACAGTGTAGTAGGCCAGCATGGAGAGGAATAAATATTCACTATTATCATTGTTGATATGCTCACTAACCTAACATTTTCCACGTCTTGTTCCTAATAGCTGGCACTGGCGCGGTATTTGCCATTAGAGCACCTGGCTCATTCACAAATATGTCACTCTGTGGTTGTATTTATATTGAAACTACAATTCGAACATCCTAGAAAAACTAACCTGCTGTTAATGCAGGTAGATTATCCTCACCACATGGATTATTTGTCAATATTTGTTGCATTGCATACATATGGCACGGCATTGGTGGTTACTTCACATGTTTATTTGAGTTAATTGTTTCGGTTGCAGAAAAAATAGCATGTTTCATTCGGATCAAAAGTGACTTTGTGCGACTCGCAAATTTTGCTTTCGCTCGGCTTCGCTAAACGGTGCGCCTCGCAAATGCAAAATTCGCTTGTCAAACAAAGTGTCACTTTTGATCCTAATAAAACAATCTACTATTTTCAGTTAAATATTCATCAAGACACAATTATTATATCTTATTTTCTACTTCTTTTTAGTTTCGCTATCTATAAAAGCGTGTTTCTTCAGTTTTTCAAACTACCATTTATTTCAACTTCTTTTTTGTTCACGTGAATTTCCCAATTTTTACGAAAGAATGATAATATTCGACTTCTAAAACCCCAAATGAAAATTCTGAATAGAATCGAAACGTAATTACAAAACTCGTCCGCAACATTGAATCTACCATATTGAAATCCCTAATTTTGACGAAGTAGTCATAATTTTTGATCCCGAAAACACCCACCTACAAATTTTGAATAGAATCGGATTATAATTATAAAACTCGTCCGCCATATCGGTTCCGCCAACTTGAATTTCCAAATTCCGCCCGAATTTTCGAATTCTGGCGAAAGAATCATGATTTCCGACCCCGAAAACCCCCAGATACCAATTTTGAATAGAATCGAACCATAATTACAAAACGTCCGATATATTAGATCCGCCATCTTGAATTTTTCAATGGTAACGGTATAAAAAGTATCCAATAACCCTATCCTGGTTCTAAGCTACCTCCCCACCAATTTTCAGCCAAATCGATCTAGTAGTTTTGGAGCCTATTCAATACATACAAACAAACAAACAAACAAAAGTCGTCATGATATGTATAATGTTTTCTCGGACTTTGATGCTGTTATCATGTGCTTTTTCTACAAATTCAGGGAATTTGAGGTTTTAGAAATACTCGATATTTCATCAGGGGCGCCTAAAATATGGGAGAAACAGTAACCCTGTATTCCGAATCTGAATGCATAATATCGAACCATTCTTTTTCTGCGACAGAAGAATTTTGATTGTTCAACTGGTCACCCTATATATCGAGAATTGATAAATTACGAGGGCTTCCAAGAGTTGTCAATCGAATTTTGCAATACCTTGTTATATACCCCGACGGAATATGATATACAGTGTCATTCATAAAGTCGGCATCATATGGGAAAAACTTTCATTAATGACTTATTTTGGAATTCGAGGTGGAAGTTGAGTTTTGCTTCAAAAAAGATGAAAAATGGCCTACTCAATCGGGGTCACGTGACTTTCGCTACATGTCAAAAGTGACATTTTTTCAAATTTATCGCTGAAAGTAGGCTTATTTGTTCGAATATCGAAAGAGTTTACTTGAAAAATTTGTTTCTATTCCAATTTCACACATTCTTCTAAAATTTGATCTCTCCATTGCAACTTTTAGATTTTGATTTTTTTTTTAATTTTTCGGAATTTCTGTAATATTTGAAGAATTGTTAATTCCACGAGACTACTTCATACCAGTAGCTTTTTCATGCTACTTACTTTCAATTACTTATCATCACTGATTATGGACAGAAATATGATTATCTTCAGAAAATGATGATACCCGCTTACAAATTCTGTTATGTTTGATGCAAAGTTGATATATCGTCAAGCATTTAGAAACGAAATTCATTTAAACTGATCTTTTCAGTACTGAAAGAAAAAATTGAATGAATTTCGTTTCTAAATGCTTGACTCAAACATAACAGAATTTTGAAGCGGAGATTATCATTTTCTGAAGAAAATCATATTTTTGTCGATAATTAATGATAATAAGTTATTGAAAGTTAGTAGCATGATGAAACTACTGGTATGAAGTCGTTTTATCGAATTTACAATTTTTTTAATGTTACAGAAATTTCGAAAATTTTCAAAAAATATCGAAATCTAAAAAATGTAATAGAAAAGGTAAATTCCGAGTCACATATTATGTAGAATTCAAATAAAAACAACTTTTTCAAGTGAACTTTTTCGATATTCGAACAAATAAGCCTACTTTCAGCGATTAATTTGAAAAAATATCACTTTTGACATGTAGGGAAAGTCACGTGACCCCGATTGAGTAGGCCATTTTTCATCTTTTTTGAAGCGAAACTTAACGTCCAACTCGAATTTCAAAATAAGTCATTATTAAAAGTTTTTCCCATATGATGCCGACTTCATGAATGACACTGTATGCATGTAGATATAAATTTTTTGCCATTCCGAAAGATGTTGAGATATTTTTAGTGAAATACAAGGATTCTCAACGTTAATAGAGAACATATAAAAATACCAGGTAAATGAGAATTTTCGACCCATCCATGTACCTATTTCTTTTACTGAGATGGACTATGAATTTTTTTAAGACGTCTGTTTCACGAAAAAGCAGTAATGATGTCAGGACCTCAACTCTCTAACTTTGTGGACCTCTACGAAATACTACAAAAACATCGAAAAATATATTATATCGCTCCATTGATTTGAACTATTTTTTTTTTAATTCTCTGTTCACAATTGATATTCCAAAACACTTTTTTATCAATATTGCCATATTCAAAGCACAATCAAGTACTATCAAAAACGACAGCGAAATAATTCATTCGCTTCCACACGATTCAGTGTTTTTTTTTCGTATGTATACTGATACGTAAACCTATCGAACGAAAGATGGCGAAACACAATAAAAAAAATCCAACGTTCTCGAGAAGTGTAAACACCCTGTTCTAGACGTACGACGTCGTCGCCGTTGACGTCAAGAATGATATATTTGTCGTAGTCGTTCGTTTTTGTCGTATTCTCTTGAAGTTCATCGCCGAAAAGAAGAAGAAGAAGCAAACAAACAGACACACGGGCGCAAACACCCTCACACGGGGTGCAGAGAAGACCGACGACGATGGAGTCGGTGTAAGTAAACAGGTCCTCTATGCGAAGGAAACGCTCGGAATAGGATCGAGTCCGGGAACGACCGGAGTTGAGGAGTTCTGGATTTATTTGCCGTATACTGTTGAAAGTTTTCTTCTATGGGATTAAGGCGATACTCCAGATTTTTCAAGGTGTCCCACTTCTGAATAACGGAAATCCCACTTCTGATTAACAGAAATCTCAGTTCTGATCCACCGAACTCTATGTCCTTCGAAAATCCACAAAATTTCTCTCAAAATTCACGAAATCCCCACCTCCGATTGGACCGTGTAAGATATCGCAATGGTTTCTTCATGAAACAATATTTCGTGAAGAGATTATGCAATAGATTAGTGATTCGAGTAGGTTTTAAGGTGTTGGAGAGTTCTGGATTTACTTGCCGTATTCTGTTCAAACATTTCTGTGATGGAATTGAGGCGATTCTACCGATTTTACTAGGTATCCTACTTCTGATTGACGTGAATCTCACTTCTGATTCACGAAATTCACACTTCTGATCCACCGAACACCATGTCCATCAAAAATCTCACTTCTGTTTCAGATATACAGGGTGACCCAGGGTTAAACCGCCAAACGTTAAGGGTCGGTTATTTGGGCAAAAATAAGACTTTTTTTCTAATGAACATATAGGTCCTTACTTGCTTTGTTATCGATATACAAGGTGTCAAAGTTTTCAGACAAAATCGGTTCTTCATTAATTACGGCTTGAACTTACGGCAGATTTCGATGAAACTTGGTATGCTTATTTGCGGTGAAACAGAGCTCCATTTGATGTAATCCGAACCGATTTTTTCTGAAAACTTTGTCACCTTGTGTATCGAAAACAAAGCAAGTTATGACATATGTTCATTAGAAAAAAAGTCTTATGTTTGCCCAAATAACCGACCCTTAACGTTTGGCGGTTTAACCCTGGGTCACCCTGTATTCTTCTGATCAACAGAAAATTCCTCTCCTGATCCTTTATTGCAGATTCGTGATAGAGTCTCAATTCAGAATTTCTTTCCACGCCCTGTGTGATGAATGTCAATTTATCATACACCCAAAAGCAAAAACGTCCAAATGACAGGAATAGAATGTCAACAAATTTTCTCAGATGTCATTTCGTTATAGTTTTACTCGGTTTTAGTTGTATTATAGAGAGATGAAAATTGTGTATATCATGAAGAATGGCTGTAAGAATAAGTGGAAATCATGGTTACTGATGAGGATTCAGAAATCCGAAATGGTTTCATTGCAATAAAGTCATATAACCTGTGTGTGAGAGATAATATTTCCCATATCACTGATATGAATGTTTATTTTTGGAAGTTTTCAAGCTCATCAAGATCAGAGTTTATGCCAGTATACTTCTCCTATACATTTCAATTTTCATTTCAATGCTGAATATATTGGTAAGTTATATTTCTATATCATTATTCATCATATTATTCATCCGATTTGGAGAAGAATGTCAATTCTCAATTTCGGAGGATTTTATTCTTTATTTTTTATGTTCTCCTTTTGAATGTTCATCAGATATAATTCAATGTTCGACGTGGCAAATAGCCAGGAAAGTAGTTGTTTTCTGTTGAATATTCTGAATGATGTGTGCATATACATATTTTTGTCTGAAGGAGAATGCAAATTCTCAATTTCAGAAGTTTTTATATTTTATTTTCAAACTCTTATCGTGTGTGTTCAATAGATATAATTCAATGTTCATATAGCCAGGAAAGTAGTTGTTTTCTATTGAATAAACGGAAAAAGTAAATATTCTCATCACATAGAGAATGCGAATTCTCAATGTATTGCTTTATATAAATATATATCCATTTTTGTATGTTCATAATCCATCTGAGAATATTCCTTTTCAACACTTTCATACCCAATCAGGGGGTTCAAACTTGAACGATGGAAACTTGTGATTTTTATAGACCTCTAATCGCAGATTCGTAATAGAATCTCAATTCAGAATTTCTTTCCACGCCCTGTATGATGAATGTCAATTTATCATACACCCAAAAGCAAATAGTATGTTACAGTTTCTGTATCAGAATTGAGAAAGGTGTATTGCTCTATCCCCTTAGATTCTCGGAGTTATTTTTCGGATATCGTTGAAAGTTCTGTCGACTTGAAAATTAACAATAGGATTCATCCGTGTTTGCCTTGAAGTTGGAAGGAAAGAAAATATATGACGTCGAGTTTTTAGCGAAATTAAAAAGACTATCGGTAGAGAAGCTGGCGGCTAATTTTGTCAAGTGGATTGATACGTATCTTCTTCCCGGGAAATTGAAAACCTTGGACGGAAGGTAATGTGCAGAGAGTAGGTTACTTGGAATCACTTAAAGTTTTTGTCACCCTAAACACTTTATCAAGAAACATCATCATTGAACAAAATTAGTCTTGTGCTGAAGGAATTATTTGAATCAATACTGTAGAACTGAGATTATTTACTGTCATCAATAATTTTGAATCAATGCCAATACAGATCTCATGATTAGGAACGGATGTATATCCATTGGTACTATTATAATAGTGGTAGTATATTCACTTCGTCAGGTCATCGACCTCACGAGAGGTCCTTCAGCTTATGCGTGTTCTGTATGGGCTTTGTTACTAACGTCATACGACACCTTAGGAGCAGCAATGTTGATTGGAGAGCAACAACAAATCATATGGAATCATCTACGGCCGATGCTACGAAAACTAGAATTCAGAAAGCGTCGATTGTATCACAGAACAGTCACTTGTATTCCAGAAAAGCATCAATTGTATTTGAGAATAGTCTATTGAATTCCAGAAAGCTTTATTTGTATATCAGATTAGTCGCGGCATAGATCAATGACTTCAATCTATGGTCGCGGGATCTACACTGCACATTTCCAAATCCAATCCTCCGCCAAAATATTGACTGTAAATCCGCCATTTTTTAAGGTAAATAAAAAATCGTTCCTTCGCCAAATTATAAATTCAAGTTGCGTTCCACCAAATACTAGAAGTGGATCAATATTTTATTTCGATGGATTCATAGGTCTTCAGTGATATACCACAGATTGACAAACCTTGTAAAAATTGCTCGTTAGCAGCCATGGAAACACAAATATTTCCTGAAAATGATAGTAGGATGCAAGTTAGATGAACAACCACTTCGAATCCGAAATTGTGACCAAAATTTTCTACTGATACTTCTTTCTTGAGATTTTTCAGTTGTGGAGAATCAAATTTCACTTCAATTCAACTTTTTACCTATATCAGAACCTTTTTTCATTTTACCTGTCAATGTTTAGATTCCATTTGACAAGTACCAATCAGTATATCTGTCAGTTTGCTTTGAAGTAATCAATTCAGTACCCATGGAATGAAATGGGCCTCTTGAATCCCTATCAAGAGGGACTGAAGGACATATTTTAGTCCACAAATTGCAAAAGTTATTCTAGATACAGGGTGATTGATTGATTGATTCACAGCAGAATGATCAGTCAGGGTTCGAAGCCCAAAACACTGGAGCCTTTGGGCCTATTGTATTCCTGATCATGCTGTTGACTTAGGTGAACAGGTTCGCTACCTTGATAATAAGGTTTAGCAGCCCCTTCACCAAATCATTCGTTGGAAAAGCCTCTTGAGAGTTTACTGCTCCCAGAAGGTTGTATCTCAAACGTGCTAGTGCTTCGCACTCCAATATTACATGGGTGGCAGTTTCCTCCTCCTCATTGCATAGTCTGCATATGGGTTCGTCTGTATAGATGCCCATTCGATGCATATGTTTCCTCAAGGGGCAGTGACCGGTTATTAGTCCCGTCACTTGTCTGATCTGACTTCTGTTTAGGCTCAAAATGTCGTTAGTCACTATTCTGGACAGTGTTCCAACCATCAGTTTACTGTGTCTTTGTCCTGGGACATTGTTCCAGTATGCCTGATGTCTTTCTTGCATCCACCTTGCCAGCCAGCCGCGTAATCAATCAATCAATCAGATACAGGGTGGTGAAGTTGAAAAATAAAAATCGAGTTTTTCAGAATTTATGAACATTTTTACGACTACCTCCCCCAATGCACTTCTCATGATTCAGAATGGCCATAACTTTATTCTCAGTATAGTTTTTTACACTATATGTAGAGAAAATAATGTTCTGAACGTTTTCAATCAAAAAATTACCATTGTGGAAATCCGCTAAAGTGAACCGATTTCGAGAAATTTCGTTTTCAGTGTTCGATGTCGTACCGAAAAATTCAAATTATTTTGAATAAAACATTTTTGCTGTTATCTTCATGGATGTTATTTGGTCAGAGAATTTGCAGTGCATAAATGGAGTTCTCTAGATACTCTCTTGGAGTGTACTTGTCGATTTCTATTTTCCAACTTTACCACCCTGTAGCAATTTAGGACTGGGGAAAGTTGCTTCAAATAGGCTCATTTTGACCTCAAGAATATGTGCTGAAATGTTGTACTTCTAGTAACATTCTGTATTTTCATGAAAGGAACTAAATCATAGAAAATTATCAAGTCAAGACTAACAAAACGCTACGTCAATAAAAGATAACGACGTATCTTGAATTTCTGCTAGTCAGCGATTTCGTTAATCTTCCTGTATAACTCTCATTAATATGTACGACCATGTTCTTCGCAGTCTAGGGCCATAGAAATATGGCAATTGTAGATTTCCAGGAGACTTCCACCCCGAAAATGTCTGGAAATATTCGAGTATGTCGTCGATCTGATAATTCGCTGCTGGGTATTTGGCCACTCTGACACGTTCCCTGTGGGAAATCGCAAATCAGCCTTCAAGTGGGGCTCTTGTTTATTCTTCCGGGTTATCCAGGGATCGTAGAAGGTGACCTTATTCAAAGTTCAGTCCTCCGTTGTGCTGAAATGTCTTGGGAAACAGGATTGCAAACTTGCATATTTCCAGAAAATAGGCAGCTTCCATTGTTTCATAATTATTGCTGGAAAAAGAGTTATCCCTTCATTCTTTCGATGGCTCTTTCATTCGAGAACTGAACTGATGGCTAATTGGAAGAAAGTTCATCAAAACTAATGGAGAGAAACTACTACTGTACTACTACTTTTCCTGTGAGAAATGGCGAATCAGTCTTCAATAGGGGCTTCTGTTCACTCTTCCGGGTTATCCAGAAAACGTAGAATGTGACTTCATTCAAAGTGCAGTCCTCCGTTGTGCTGGAATGTCTTGGGAAAAAGGATTGCAAACCTGCATATTTCCTTAAAAGGCAGCTTTTATTGTTTCATAATTATTACTGGAAAAATATTCATCCCTTCCTTCTTTCGATGGATATCTAACCCAGATTCCTGTAATTTGAAGACCTGAACTGCTGGCTGATTGAAAGAGAGTTTATCAAAACTAATGAAGAGGAACATTCATATTTGAATAATCAGGAGTTGACAAACCGACCTGAGGATCTTGTACTACTACTTCCTGTAAGAAATGGCGAATTAGTCTTCAAGTGGGGCTTCTGTTCACTCTTCCGGGTTATTCAGGAATCGTGGAATGTGACCTCATTCAAAGTACAGTCCTCCGTTATGCTGGAATGTCTTGGGAGGAAGGATTGCAAACTTGCATATTTCCAGAAAATAGGCAGCTTTCATTGTTTTATAATTATTACTGGAAAAATATTCATCCCTTTCTTCTTTCGATGGATCTAACCCAGATTCATGTCATTTTAAGAACTGAACTGCTGGCTAATTGAAAGAAAGTTTATCCAGTCTAATGAAGAGAAACACATATATTTGAAAAATCAGGAGTAAACAAACCGACCTGAGGAATTCGTACTACCACTTTCCTGTGAGAAATGGCAAATGAATCTTCAAGTTGGGCTTCTGTTCATTCTTTCGGGTTACCCAGAGAACGTGGAATGTGACCTCATTCCAAATTCACTTCTTCGTTGTGCTGAAATGTCTTTGGGAAATGGATTTCAAACTCTTATATTTCCAGAAAATGGGAAGCTCTCATTGTTTCATAATTATTACTGGAAAAAGAGTTATCCCTTCATTCTTTCGATGGCTCTTTCATTTGAGAACTGAACTGATGGCTAATTGGAAGAAAGTTCATCAAAACTAACGGAGAGAAACTACTACTGTACCACTACTTTCCTGTGAGAAATGGCGAATCAGTCTTCAATAGGGGCTTCTGTTCACTCTTCCGGGTTATCCAGAAAACGTAGAATGTGACTTCATTCAAAGTGCAGTCCTCCGTTGTGCTGAAATGTCTTGGAAAACAGGATTGCCAACTTGCATATTTCCAGAAAATTGGCAGCTTTCATTGTTTCATAATTATTGCTGGAAAAAAAGTTATCCCTTCCTTCTTTCGATGGCTCTTCCATTCGAGAACTGAACTGATGGCTAATTGGAAGAAAGTTCATCAAAACTAATGGAGAGAAACTACTACTGTACTACTACTTTCCTGTGAGAAATGGCGAATCAGTCTTCAATAGGGGCTTCTGTTCACTCTTCCGGGTTATCCAGAAAACGTAGAATGTGACTTCATTCAAAGTGCAGTCCTCCGTTGTGCTGGAATGTCTTGGGAAAAAGGATTGCAAACTTGCATATTTCCAGAAAATAGGCAGCTTTCATTGTTTCATAATTATTACTGAAAAAAGAGTTATCCCTTCTTTCTTTCGATGGCTCTTTCATTTGAGAACTGAACTGATGGCTAATTGAAAGAAAGTTCATCGAAACTAATTGAGAGAAACTACTACTGTACTACTACTTTCCTGTGAGAAATGGCGAGTTAGTCTGCAATAAGGGCTTCTATTCACTTTTCCGGGCTATCCAGAAAACGTAGAATGTGACTTCATTCAAAGTGCAGTCCTCCGTTGTGCTGAAATGTCTTGGAAAACAGGATTGCAAACTTGCATATTTCCAGAAAATAGGCAGCCTTCATTGTTTCATAATTATTACTGGAAAAATATTCATCCCTTCCTTCTTTCGCTGGATCTAACCCAGATTCCTGTAATTTTAAGAACTGAACTGCTGGCTGATTGAAAGAAAGTTTATCGAAACTAATGAAGAGGAACATTCATATTTGAATAATCAGGAGTTGACAAACCGACCTGAGGAACTTGTACTACTACTTTCCTGTGAGAAATGGCAAATTAACCTCCCAGTGGGGCTTCTGTTTATTTTTTCGGGTTACCCAGAAAACGTGGAATGTGACCTCATTCCAAATTCACTTCTTCGTTGTGCTGAAATGTCTTTGGAAAATGGATTGCAAACTCTCATATTTCCAGAAAATTGGAAGCTCTCATTGTTTCATAATTATTACTGGAAAAAGAGGTATTCCTTCCTTCTTTCGATGATTCTAACCAAGATTTCTGTCATTCAAGAACTGAACTGATGGCTAATTGGAAGAAAGTTCATCAAAACTAATGAAGAGAAACATTTATATTTGAAAAATCAGGATTCAACAAACCGATCTGAGGATTTCGTACTACTACTTTCCTGTGAGAAATGGCAAATTAGTCTTCAAGTGTTCACTCTTCCGGATTATCCAGAAAACGTAGAATGTGACTCCATTCATAGTTCACTTTTTCGTTGTTCTGAAATGTCTTCGGAAAATGGATTGCAAACTTCCGTATTTCCAGAAAATTGGAAGCTCTCATTGTTTCATAATTATTACTGGTTGAGTGTGAGAAAGTATTAATCCATCTCACACATGGGTAAACGGTAACTCTGCCATTTGATAGTAAGCATCAAAGTTATTTGTAAATCTACTCATTGTACCTGTTATTTATACTTACTATCATTAAAAGCGATTTATTATTATTATTATATTATTATAAAAAGAGTTATTCCTTCCTTCTTTCGATGGCTCTAACCAAGATTTCTGTCATTTAAGAAGTGAAATGCTGGCTGATTAAACGAAAGTTTATCAAAACTTATGAAGAGAAACATCCATATTTGAAAAATCAGGAGTTAACAAACCGACCTTAGGATCTCGTACTACTACTTTCCTATGAGAAATAGTGAATTAGCCTTCAAGTGGGGCTTCTGTTCACTCTTCCGGGTTATCCAGAAAACGTAGGAGGTGATGTGAAAACTTTCATATTTCTAGAAAATTACTGGAGAAAGAGTTAACCCTTCCTTCTTTCGACGATTCTAGCCGTGATCTCTGTCATTCAAGAACAGAAATATTATTCTGCAAAATCAAAAGTGAACTTAACTGTGAATCTTGTCCTGAAGTATACAGGATGTCCGGATGGTCATGTCGTAAATGATATAGCTGAGAGAGTGAGCCAAAATAATCCTAGTACTTCATATGAAAAATAGTCTATCTTATCCATGGTGTTACCAAAGTATTGAATACTGTCATGTCAATGATGACAATTACTGCAACTACCATGATGATATTAAATAAATAGAGTGTTCATTATAATTGAGCCTCTCAAGAGGGATAAGCTTGTAAGGCATATTATGATGTCACAGAGTATTACAATGACGAATCACAACTATAGTGAGTATAAAGTGTATAGTGTTGTATTTTCGTATTGTATATTATGTTTGATTGTTTCATTATAAAATAGGCTATGACGATACAAAACTGTGATTATGAGGACTTAACGAATTCTCGTATTTTAATACTCTTGTTCACTGTTACATTTTAATTTTCTACAAAATATTTGTCGATAAGATCGTATATCTTGGACAATAAACATATACTCTCTCTCTCTCTTTACCTTTGAAACGATTGGGTCAAGGTTGTATGTTTTTACGATAATAATACGAGGCACGGTCAAAAAATTCATTTAAAATAAGCTTTAGCACTATTCCAAAATCAACAAGTTATATGTTGGTGAGACATCATAGTTTCAGTCTATTGTGGGTTCCGAAAACGTATTTCGATTCTTGGTAGCTTAGTTTGTCTCATTTAAACAAAAAAAAAACAGTTTTCTTCTTTATTGTCAATCCTACCCCGATACAACGTTTTCACGAATTTTGTCGGCTTGTATCTCAGAAACTAAGCATACAAAACTTCTCAAACTCACATATTTACCTAATGAGCCAACCCACCAGAACATAGTTAAATTTCAGCCAATTCGACCAGGAGTCAATTTTCCATGTTTTCGTGCGGGGTCCTTTAAAAACAACTTCTCTTTCAGGGATTTGAAAATGGAAAATGTTATGCTGAACTCATCCCAGAGCCAGATTAAGATAGTCGATTTTGGACTGAGCAACCTGTGGTCACCAGATAATCCATTGCGCACCCACTGCGGCTCTCCCGAGTACGCCGCCCCTGAACTTTTCATCACCGGCAAGCAATATGGCGCCGAAGTGGATCTGTGGAGTCTGTGAGTCCTTTTTCTCTATTTTGCGTCTTCAATTCAAAGCCGTCATTATAAAACCCGAAGAAGGCACTACGAAACTGCTGATACTCTACCTTCATTTTTAAAGGTTTGTGGAATGAAACTTTCAAAGTTCACAGAACGTTTAATCAACAGACCATGTTCCAGTCATCCTAGCAATGACAATAGTGAATGTTATACGCGTTTTTCAACATACAGGGTGTTTCACAGGTAAAGGGAAATATGTCAATGGTAGATAGGGGTCACCAAGTTGGTTCTGAAAATACCATATTTGATAGGTCTTAGAGTTTTCATAACGGAGATACAGGGCGATTTATCGATTTCGAATAATTATTCATTCGTCTATAAGTATTGAACTACCCAGTATATTTTTCTAAAATTTGGTATGGAGCTCAAACTTGAGACTTTGAATGCATTCACCTATCGGGCGAAGTGAAAATCCAGGTTTGGCTTCAGGAAAAATTTACATTTATTCGAAATATTAAAATAACACACTGTATGTAATAATTGACTAAGTTCATCAAAGGAATCGTGAGGAGGAGGAAAAACTGAACTGGATTTGATGCTTATTGTTTTCCCGCCACCAATTCTCATCGTAACAGGAAGCTAAAAGTATGTCAATTTCAAGAGTATTAAAATTATGAAATCACTTTCAATTATGATTATTCGATATATTCTTGTTAAATGATCGTTCGAAAGAACTTACTTAGTCTCACAGTCTTAATAACAGAGATACAGGGTGAATTATCACTCGTCCATAAGTATTAAACTACCCATCGCAGTAATATTTCCTCAAATTTGGTATTGAGCTTACTTGGGACGATGGATTCATTGACCTATCAGGCAGAATAGATATACAGGTTCAGCTTCAGGAAAAGTCTCATAGTCTTTATAACAGAGATACAGGGCGAATTATCGAATTATAATTCCGCCTGATAGGTTAATGAATCCATCGTCCCAAGTAAGCTACATATTTGAGAAAATGTTACTGGGTAGTTTTATACTTATGGACGAGTGAATAATTATTCAAAACCGATAATTCACCCTGTATCTCCGTTATAAAAACTGTGAGACTTAGTAAGTTCTTTCGAGCTATTTTTTGACTAAAATATATCGAATAATCATAATTGACACTGGTTTCATAATTTCAATACTCTTCAAATCGACATACTTTCAGCTTTCTGTTTATGATTGTTACGATGAGAATTGGTGGCGGGAAAACAAAAAGCATCAAATCCAGTTCACTTTTTCCTCCTCTTTACGATTCCTTCGATGAACTCTGTCAATTATTACATACAGTGTATTATTTTCATATTTCGAATAAATGTGAATTTTTCCTGAAGCCGAACCTGGATTTTCTCTTCGCTCGATAGGTGAATGAATTCAACGTCCCAAGTTTAAGCTCCATACCAAATTTTAGAAAAATATACTGGGTAGTTCAATACTTATAGACGAATGAATAATTATTCGAAATCGATAAATCGCCCTGTATCTCCGTTATGAAAACTCTAAAACCTATCAAATATGGTATTTTCAGAACCACCTTGGTGACCCCTATCTACCATTGAAATATTTCCCTTTACCTGTGAAACACCCTGTATAAGTTCCAAAGTTGAACTTTCAACTTATTGTAGATGTGAACGATAAACTTTCTGATTGTCTTTATTTACACCCTTAGTAACACTGTACAATAATATAATGTACCATAATAGTAGGAGTATACAGCGTGTCTCACTTTAAACGGCCCCCCTTTATATCACAGTTATTAGTCATGCGATTCCAACCAAATTTGGTGTGGTATGAAAAACCATCAATATGATCAGTTTTACAGGAATGCACATTATTTTGGACAGTGCCGTGCGTTTTTATTGGAATAAAAAGGGGTCGATTTTTCATATAATCATATTAGGCATTTTTTTACAGGAAATCTAACCCCATATTATTGTTCCTCATGCTTTCAAACCTCCATATGCAAAAAAATCGCCTAATTCTGAATTAACAGGATTGGCTTCATTTTTTTCATTCTCGCATAAATAGTGACTTCAAATCAACTACAGATTTTGGAACGTTTAATGGCTCCGGTAGGTGGAGAATCATGGTACGAATCGGCCAAGCCGTTTCCAAATGACAAACGTTTGAAATTTGCTTCAAATATTAATATTAATGAATAAAAAACCTAATTCACTTTTAATCGCAACAGAATTCCAAGTAGGAATTGTAACAAGTGCTCAAACATGCTCGAAATGTTCATCGTTCACTTATTTGACACGAAAAAATCGGTTTTGGAATTCAATCCGAACGTGATTTACTGTTTCCGAGGTACATTTCAAACGCTCGTCATTTTCAAACGGCTTGACCGATTTGCACAAACAAAGCGGAGTTGGATAGAGAATCGAAAGGCCTTCAAAACAAGGTATCACGTGACCCTTCTTCAAATTTGAAAAAGAAAGTTGATGGTGCCTATACTTGACACTAGGTCACGTGACCACAACCATTTTCATGCCAAATAGTAGTGGAAGAGGTACCTTTCTGTCTGAATTCCTAAAAACATGAGAGATTCAGTCCACACTCCACATGAGGAATCAATCGGAAGTTGCTCTTGTCTGGCACCGATTGCGATAATGGGACCTTTCCTTTTTCAGCAATGGCGTTAGTCGGGACGAAAAACAAACGACTGATTCAATAAACTTGAATCCGATTGTATTAGTGAAATGGAAGATACTATTCAGGTTCGAGTTAAATATATTATGTCGATCGATGAATTCGATGAAAGAATTTCTCGAACTTTCTCACTTATTTCTCCCCGTTTTTATAAATAAAAGTATAAGTATTTCAATATACTTGTAATAAGTACAAATCATATGATTTCTTCTGAATTGTCATTGCGTTTGAATTTCGCTTTCAGAAACCTGAGAGAGATCAAATGATACCATGTTTAAATATGTTTGAAGAAAAGGAATATAGGTAGATTGAAAAATATGGGGATACTGTTCAAAAAACAATTTAATAAAATATCTGCATTATATAAAAAGACATTGAGAGTACTGTATCGTTTACCATATGATACACCAACAAATCAATTATATAGGTAAAAAAACTAAATCATTCTCATTAGAAGAAATGCATGTTCAAAATTGAAAATATGAAAATTACATCATAATCATGAATAAAAGATCGAAATCCAATTTTATTTTAACACGAAACAATGAAATTCATGATTACCAAACTAGACAACATGGTTTATTTCATCTTGAAATCGCAAATTCTTCTATAGGCCAAAAAAGATTCACCCATGTTGATGAAACACCCATGTTTCCCATCATCTACCGTCTGCGGTTCCACAGTTACCTCACAAAAGTTTTGCAAAAAACTGGTATCCTCCAAATGAATCACAGTAGAAAAAATCCTTTTATTGGACAGTTTCAATTTTAGCCATACTCATCTGTATCATTTTGTTTTCTTCAGGGTCATCATCTACCACCCGCGATTACACAGCACCTCGCAAGAGCGCTGCGAAAGACTGGTGGCCCATATAAATCACAGTCAAAAAATCCTTCAATTGGACAGTTTTAGTTTTGGCCATACTTATCTGTGGTAATGAAACAGCATCATCTTTTTCCTTCAAGGGCATCATCTTGTAAGGCATAGTTCTACGCCAGCTGTGCCCTTAGTGACCAGCGCAACTGCGATGGTGATTCCCAAACTGACGGCGCAAGTAAATCACAGTCCAAAGTTCCTATAATTGGACATTTGGACATCTGTGTAAATGGAAGGCCATCATTTTTTATTTCTTCAGGGGCATCATCTTGCATGCTTCGGAGCCAACTGTTCTTGATAACAGCCCGGAGTTCCATTAATACCTTGCCAGAGTGCCGCCAAATACGAGAAGCTCAAATAAATCACAGTCTAAAAATCTTTTAATTGGACAGTTTCATTGTCGACCATATTTTTCTGTGCATATGAAACTACACCATCATTTTTTCTCTTCAGGGGCATCATCTACCGCCTGCGGATTCACTGCTACCTCACAAAAGCTCCGCAAAAAACAGGTGGCTCCTAAATCACAGTAGAAAAATCCTTTTATTGGACAGTTTCAATCTTGGCCATACTTATCTGTGGTAATGAAAGGCCACCATCTTTTCCCTTCAGGGGCATCATCTTGTACAGCATGGTGCTGTGCCATCTGCCCTTAGTGACTGCCCGTGATACCACTGACATATCGCAGTAGGGCTTCTAAAAACTGGTGGCGCAAATAAATCACAGTCGAAAACTCCATTAATTGAACAGTTTTTCGTCATACTAATCTGTAATTTTTTTTCTTCAGGGGCATCATCTTGTACAGCATGATGCTGTGCCATCTGCCCTTAGTGACCACCCGTGATTCCACTGACATATCGCAGTAGCGCTTCTAAAAACTAGTGGCGCAAATAAATCACAGTCGAAAACTCCATTAATTGAACAGTTTTTCGTCATACTAATCTGTAATTTTTTTTCTTCAGGGGCATCATCTTGTACAGCATGGTGCTGTGCCATCTGCCCTTAGTGACCACCCGTGATTCCACTGACATATCGCAGTAGCGCTTCTAAAAACTAGTGGCGCAAATAAATCACAGTCGAAAACTCCATCAATTCAACAGTTTTTCGTCATACTGATCTGTAATTTTTTTTCTTCAGGGGCATCATCTTGTACGGCATGGTGCTGGGTCAGCTGCCTTTCGTGACCGCCCGCGGTTCCACCGCTACCTCGCAGGAACGCCGCAAAAAACTGGTGGCCCAAATAAACCGCGGCCTGTCGACGCACCACCGTAGAGCGTTGGCCCCCTTCAGCCCCGAATTCCGCGGGCTGATGAGCCGGCTGCTGGTGTCGGACGCGGCGAAGCGGATCACGGTAAAGGAACTGACGGCGCACGCGTGGATCACGGAGCGGGGGAGGCGACTGGTGCGGAGCTGGCCGTTGAAGGAGGTGGATGCCAATTGGAGGAATAAGGTGGGCAACCAGTTCATACAGGGTCTTTCAATAGTAAGGTGAAAAAGAAATTGGCCGTGAGCCCGCACAATGCACTCACGGCGTCGAGTGGGGTAGCCCCAGGTGATTCCAGCTCTGGTAAAAGCTTGAGGTCCCCACGCTCTTCATGGTAGCGGTATGTGTGAAAGACCGCGAACGGACACCAATCAAACGGGACTGGAGGATTTCGGTCGACATGGGTAGCTGAGTTTGCTCAGCGAAAACTGGCACTTTGGTGTACCTTAGTTCGCCATCAGGGAGGGGGCAGCCCGTTACCACCGATACAACAAGGCCTGCATGCTCCGTGGGTGACGTCACTTAGTCAGGCCTAACCAGCGGCTCGAAACGATAAGCGCTTATAGCGCTATAAGGCGACCGCGTATTTCGATTTTAGTTTTATATCATCATTGAGCCGATTTTGCTGTTTTTTGAAGGGCTTCCGGTTAAAAAAGGATGCCAGTCGTCAACTGAGCCCTTCTTCGTGCCCCATTCGATTTTATTATGGAAAAACGAAGTTTTAAAGCAAAAACCAGGATAAAACACAAATATCCACCTACAGCAACCCATTCGAATTAAATATATTGGCAAAAATTGTGGTGAAGGTAAACTTCACACCTACTTATACAGGGCCCGCAGAACATTGTGGAAAATGTATTTTATTTTGATTGACATGCCGTTTGTTACAATTACCTATATTTATCTTGGAGAATTCCTATTACCTGAAAAAATAACCAGTGAGTGTTTTCAATTTCCTGTTGTTGGATTTTTCACCCAAGTGGATCGTTACACTTGAAACCGTAATTTTTAAGGGTAAAACTGCATTTATCATGCGATGGTTTTTTTTTGAAATTTTTTTCGGTACTCACGTATTTTTGTCTGATAAACCGAATTTTATAATGAAAATGTGAACAAACCATTGAGATATTTCAAGAAAAAGTTCGAAATTTCGCCTTCTTTCTCCCCTTGTGTTGGGGGCATTTGAAGCAAATGACAATAGATTGCTTTCGAATGACATTACACACGCCATTATTTTGAATGACATTCTTCCTTCTTTTCACTAAATATGGGGATTAATCTCAAAAAAATCATATTTATAGTTGAATTATATATAAATTGTCCAATATGATGAAAAAAGAAGGGAAATTTGTTCTAAATGCCATCCAGATGACAGGTGAAAAAGAAGGTGAAATTTGGAACTTTTTAGTCAAATAATCTTCATGATAAATGCAGTTTTACCTTTTTAAGTAGAGTGTTTGAAGTTCATGTTAATATGATAGTTGCAATTTGATTATTGGAATGAATTCTGCATTCATTGCCACGAGGCAAATGACCGTTTTCAGAAAGAAGTTTGAGAATGAGAATTAAAAATGCCCGTTTATTATGAACATTCAAGAAAATTTCCTCGAATTCAGAGATGATTTTGTTGACTATAATATACGAATACTAAACTAACTGCACAATCAAAGCTTTTCTATTTTTCCTCTACTTATACTTTTTATGAGAGAGTAATTGTCTTCTATTATTAATTCATCATTATAAATTAAGCTCTGTTTACTACTGAACTTAGATGGAGTAAAATCCTCGCGGTTGTATATACCCACATTTTCGATAGCTCCTCGTCCAACGGGAAACTAAAAGCATGAACTTTTGAACCACCCGCATAATTCCCCCGACAAAAGGGAACACAACACTTGAAAGGCTTTGTTATTTCGCCGATCACAACACAAAATATTTCATAAAACAGTAATTTTTCCGCCAATTATTTTGATGAATAAACAACAAAAGAATTCGGGACCGTTTCAAAAACATACGTGAATCACCGATGAATTAACACGAACTGACGCGTTAGTCGACAAGCGATAAAATAAAACACTGGCCTCTCTTGGTGACGTTACGAGCTGTTTACGTCAGAGTCTGCTGGCCATGTTGTATCGGTGGTAACGGGCAGCCCCAAGCGATTCTACCGCCAGTCATCGTAGGCAAAGCCGGGTCCTCAACTGTAAACGAGGTAAAGGAACGTGTAAATGTCCTCGAACAATCACTCATTCAACGGGAGGAGAGGGATTCTTGTCAACATGAGTAGCAATTAGGCCAAAGCCTCTTGCGACGGTGACCCATCAAACGTAACAAGAGGAATCTTGTTGACATGGGTACCTGGGCTGATGAGGATAGCCCCATCAGGTCGTACATACGGCCTTATGCCTCACCCATTGGGTTGGACTCAGGGGGCAGCGGTTTCCATGAAAACACCCTCGGACTACGGTAGAGGAGGTGAAGAAGAATCATGTCATCTCGACTATTTATTAACTCGGCTACGCCTCGTTAAAGAAATCAGATATCGATCACCAAAGTAGCATTTCGCGCTCTAGAGATACAAAAATAACAATAACATGTTGACGCTTGATTGATGATTGACTTCCGCAGATGATTTTCGAGATAGCCTCTCTTCTACAAATCGAAAAAAAATTGGTGTTGTCAGCTCTGTCACAGGATCCATTGGGGAAAATAGGGGGCATGTACAACATCTTGCAGAGGAGATATCAGATGAGCCAACTACACGGAGACGGTGTTACCAGGTACGAAATAATAATAAGTATACAACTATTGAAAAAGTGTTTTTTTTCCTCTTTCTCTCTCTTCTGAATCCTGCATGTTTTTGTCACAATCATTCTAGAATTGATTATTTCTTCACGCAAATTCATTGCGTGAAGTGACCGATATACAAGGTGTCCCAGAACAAAGTACCATAAATCCTACACCGTGAACTGGAGATCAAAATAGGCCGATTGAAATCAATTCATTTCCAGACTAGCTTTCTTCAATATTTCGAAATCCTTGAAATGTACTTCTCTGAAATTGGAAGGACAATTTACTATAGTGAATGTCGTACCAATTCAATGAATATACAAAGAGCAAGGTATTTCGCATTCTCTTTGATAAGAATTAATGTAACTTTTTTTGGAGTAAGGCACTAACCACATTTTGTTATTTCGATGAATGACAAAATCAATTATCCAACTATCTTCTAACTACAGTGTTTTTATAATTTTTCTTGGTTTTCCAGATATCTAACAAAATTCATTTTGGTGCTCCCCCATACTTGTTTATGCATGACGATTATCATGTTTTGCAAGTTTTCACCTCATTCGTGCTGAGTTATTGACCATAATAATCATGTTTATGAACTACTTCAACATGATGATAAAGTTGTATGACCAGTTCACCCAGTAGAATTTATGGTAAAGTTGTTCTGGGACACCTTGTATATACTGAATATGTGTGAATTCAACAAATAACATTTACATAGCGGTTATTGTCTATTCACGGGTTTAGTGGACATATTCATATAGTATATAAGTAGCCCACTAGGATATAGAGCATTAAGTTTCAATCTTCTCCTGAAGATGCTAACATAGTTAGCGAAACACGTGTCGAGGTGTAAAAAATCGGTTTGGTTAGTGGTGAAACAGTATGTGTAGTGAACAATTTTCTATTTATTTCCATTGTAGATCTGTGCCTTCCGTGACACTCCTGGAACTGTCAGATATGACGAAGGGTGTGGGCAAAGAAAGAGCGATATTGTCGTCGAGGTCACCGGCTCAGAAAAAGCCCCAAACGGCTGCTGTGGGGCGCAGAACGGACTACTATTGCACCCCAAGGATGGTCGATTTGAATAAGCACCTCAGACAGGTGATCAGTTCCCCAAACGAAAACGTGATGAGAAACAAAGTGAGGACTTTTTAACTCTATAGATTTTTATTTGGGTGAATCTTCATCGTGAATTTTTGTCTCTCTGTGAGGCAGACGTAGGGGTATAATTCTCACTCGCGAGCTATGGTTGTAATAATACACAGTGTACAGTGTGTCCAGTTTTCGATGCTTTTGTGGGATATCTCAGTTATCTTTGGAGATAGAACCTTGCGGGTTTCGCGGTCGTGTGCCACTTTTTTGTGAAACTCAAGATGGCCTAATCAGATTTTGCATAACTGTTTCCGTTTATGAGATACAGGGCGATTTCGAAAATTTATACTTTTTGGACCCCCTCTATATCTACGAGGTTTCTCAGCAAAAATGTCAAATTAAAATCTTATCCCATATAAAAGTTCACGCAGAATCCAGTGGCGCACCCAAAATTTTTTTTCGTGGTATGGTTTTGGAGATACGACTCAAACTTATGATTTTTTAAATGGAACACCCTGTATTTCATAAGCTCATAAAAATCCTCATTTTTTTCTCTTCAAAATGATTTATAATGTATGTATATGAAATTTTCAAAAATGGTCTTAAATCACTGTAACATTGAATTTTAATAGTGGGCTATGGATTTTTCTTATGAAATAGTTCCAATTGAAGGAATATTGATTTAGATTTTTCCATAAAGAGGACAAAAACAATACCAACACTAATTAACTAAGAAAACACAAAAATTATGTACCTGATAGCAACAAATAAATAGTAATAAAAAGTTCATAATGTAGAATAAGCACCAGATCAAATATTTACAAATACAATTGAATTTCGGAATTATTCAATAACTTATTCACTGAATTGTTCAAATTGATGTCCATTTCCCATAACACACAATTGACACAGTTTCTCAATACGTCTTGATACAAGTAAGAGTCACAAATATCTTGAAGAACTTCGTGCAACAACAGAGGCAGTTTTCCATTAATTACAAAGACATCCTTTAATGATTTTGATTGCATTAAGACGTATTGAGAAAGCGTGTGAGGGAAAGTGGACATCAATTTGAACAATTCAATGAATAAGTTATTGATTAATTTCGAAATTCAATTGTCTTAGTGAATATTAAATCAGGTGCTTATTCTAGAATATGAACTTTTTAATACCATTCATTTGTTGTTATCAGGTACCTAATTTTTGAGTTATCTTAATTAACTAGTGTTGGGATTGTTTTTGTCTTTTTCATGGAAGAATCAAATGAAATATCCCTTCAATTGGAACTTTTTTTAAATAAAAAATCCATAGCCCATAATTAAAATTCAATGTTTTAGTGATTTTGGAGCATTTTTGAAAATTTTATACCTATTCATCATATTTCATTTTGATGGGGAAAAAATAAGGAATTTAATGAGCTTATAAAATACAGGGTGTTCCATTTGAAAAATCATAAGTTTGAGTCGTATCTCCGAAACCATACCCAGAAAAAAAAATTTGAGTACGCCACTGAATTCTGCGCAAAATTCTGTATGGGATAAGATTCCAATTCGACATTTTCGCTGAGAAACTTCGTAGATATAGAGGGGGTCCAAAAAGTATAAATTTTCAAAATCGCCCTGTATCTCATAAACGCAAACAGTTATGCAAAATCTGATTAGGCCATCTTGAGTTTCACAGAAAAGTGGTACAGGACCGCGAAAACCGCAAGGTTCTATCTCGAAAGATAACTGAGATATCACGCAAAAGCATCGAAAACTGGACACAGTGTACTTCTCCTATACATTTCAATTTTCACTTGAAATACCACTAGCTAGAGAACAAAGTATTTCCGGAAATTTTTTCGAGCTCATGGATTTGAGAAAGATTTGATATTTTCATCACACATAGAGAATGCAAATTCTCAATGTATTTCTTCAAATATAGATCCATTTTTTATGTTCATAATTTATTTGAGAATAGTACGTCCTTCTCAATAATAATACACCTTCGCATTCCTGAAACTAGATGGCTCTTAAGGCTATATTGTCATACTGTCCTTTCCATCCATTTTGAGCTTTGCTTTTCAGCATATATTATTGTAGTTTACTTATATATGAACGAAATATCTGCTGGCCTAGAACAACTGATGAGGCCGGCAGGCCAAGAGAGTATTCATCAATCGATTCACGAAAATCTTTTGATTTTGAGATATGCGAGGCAATATGAGGTTTTTCTTTATTGAAAGTTTATAAGGATATAGGTGTCAAATTATAAGGAGATGTCCAAAACTTATCCCAAATATAGCAAATACCGTTCTATACTCTCACATCCTTAGTAAAATGAACTATCTCATAAAAGTTTGGGGTTCATGTTCCAAGAATAATTTCAACAAAATATCTGTACTATATAAGAGCATTAAAAGTACCTACTGTATCGTCTTCCATATGACACCCCATCAAATCAACCTTATGAAGAAAAAATGCATTTTCTTTGGAAGATAAGAATGATAAGAATGATAAGAATGATAAAAATGATAAAAATGATAAGAATGATACGAATGATACAAATGATACAAATGATACGAATAATGAAACGATCGAAACGAATGATACGATAATGATACAATTGATACGGATGATACGAATGATACGAATGATTGAAAGTAATAAAACTATACTGAAACGAATAAATTAAATGGAACTAGTAAAATGGATACGAATGAAAGGAATTAAATGGATGAAAAACAATATCAAACTGACATGAACACAGTGATTTGGTTCCAGCTGTCCCAAACGAAACCGAGAAAGAAGGAACCACAGCCGCAGCCACAGTTGTTGCCACCGAAACAGCGACCGTGCACCGTCCAACCCACCCCGTCGACGGCCGCCCCCGAGAAGCGCCGCCCCTTGCCGGATTGCCGCCTCCTGCCGGACTATCGCACCATCCAGTCGCCGAACCTGAGGCGCAAGGCGTATTCGGCCACCGTCACACCCAAGACGAACCGGCCGTTTTCCCCGCCCCCAACCAGGGAGGGGAAGAGGTCTTTGGAGGCGGAGCGTGCGAGAGTGGAGGCGGGGCGTGCGAGGGTGGAGGCGGGGGACGGGCCACGTGGGGGCGGAGAGAAGGGCGGAGCGGCAGGAGGGGGTAGATCTGTGGCTACGCAGCACTGTTGCAGGTAAGGAGCTTAAGGCAATTTTTAAGCAAGAAATTGAATTTCTGAGTTTTTTAATCTAGATGTTGTTATGATGATAGATCAAGATTCTGTATATAACTGGTATTCGTCATGTATTGCTAGGGAGATAGGGAATTGTCAGTAGATACTTGACATGCATGTAACTCAATCAGTCAATAAACGTCTCAAATTAATATCTGATTATTTATACAATAAATAACATAACATGGTGTCAGAAGTAAAGAAATACAAGAAAATATAATAGCAAGTCCAAGAAAGTAAAAAAGAACACACAATAGAAAACGAAAATGCCAGTCAGTCAAGAACAATGTCATCAGCAGGCATCTACAGGATCATCATCTGCAGCAGAAAATGAAAAGAAAACAAAACTGAATTCTTCTTCTATTCAACCTTTGGTAATCGATGGCAATCTCTCACACAATTGGAAGGTATGGTACCAGCACTTCAAAATATATCTTAGAGCGAGTGGATATGAAAACGAACAAGATTCTAGGAAAGTAGCTATATTTCTTCACTACATTGGGAATGAAGCACTTGCAATTTTCAATTCGTTTGATGTTGACATGGATACCTGCAAGTATGATGACTTAGTGAGTAAGTTTGCGAACCATTGTCAACCAAAGACAAATCTGACAATAGAAAGACACAACTTCTTAACAAGAGTTCAAGGACCTGATGAGAATATTGATGAGTTCGTAACCGTTCTCAAAAATCTCAGTCTCACTTGCGAACTAGACACATTGAGAGACAGTCTCATCAGAGACATATTCATCATCGGTTTGAGATCTTCTAATAAATATATTAAAGAGAAGCTGTTGCAAGAGGATAACTTAACTCAAGAAAAAGCGGTGCAAATAGCGAAAAGTATGGAGCTTACTCAACTTCAAGCGAAGCAGATTGATTCCAAATCAGAAGCATTTGTCTGCAGAGTCAATTCAAGTCCACAATACCATAATAATTTCAAGGCAGGGAATCGGGCAGGTACATCGAGTCAATCTCATTATGATGCAATAAAGAGTCCACTGATGAGATCGCCTGCTAATAATAAGAATATTACTTGCACACGTTGTAACCAAATTCATAGATCGAGATGTCCAGCTGAAGGTGTCACTTGTGGTATATGTAAAAGGGTAGGTCATTATACAAGATGTTGTTTCTTTAACAAAAATGTCAAATGTGTAGGTGTAGATAATGTTCAAGAAAATCAAGATATCAATGACAATCAAGATGATTTTTTAGTTATAAGATCTTTAAGTCGTGAAAATGCGAAAAAAAACGATGAGGCATGGTTGGTACAAGTAACAATTGGGGGAAAAATTCTAAATTTTCACATAGATACAGGGGCAGAGGCGAATGTTATTTCGAGAAAAACTTTCGAAGGTTTAGATTTGAATAAGGATATTAGGTCTAGCTTTGTAAAGTTAACATCATTTTCGGGTGAAAATATTCCGATTATAGGTACATCAAAAATTGATTGTATCTTCAATAATGATTTATCTGTATCTGTTGAATTTGTCATTGCCAATATCGACTGTCAGTCAATTCTGGGATTACCAACATGTAAGGAGTTGGGATTGATAAAAAGAATCTACAATATTTCTAGTGAATCGATTGTAAATGAATATAAAGATACGTTTAAAGGATTAGGATGTCTACCAGGTGAATGCCATATATCAGTTAATGAAAATGTAATTCCAGTCGTGAATGCACCAAGAAAGATTCCATTCATGTTGATGGATAAGTTGAGAGCTGAACTTGAAAGAATGATGTCTCTAAATGTTATAACTAAAGTTGATGAACCTACAGAATGGGTCAATTCCGTCGTAATCGTTGAAAAGAAAAATAAAAATATTCGACTTTGTTTGGATCCAAGAAATCTGAACAAGGCGATCAAGCGCTGTCATTACTCACTACCAACTGTTGAGGAAATTCGTGTGAAGTTGAAAGGGGCAAAATATTTTTCAACATTAGATGCTCAGTCAGGATTTTGGATGATTAAGTTAGATGAAAGTAGTTCCAAGTTGTGCACATTTGGAACGCCTTTTGGACGTTATAGATTTCTTCGTCTTCCGTTCGGAGTGTCATGCGCACCAGAAATATTCCACAAGGTAATGACAGACTTATTTCTTGATATACCAGGTGTTACAATTTACATTGATGATATCTTGATATATAGCGATACTATTGAAGGGCATAATGAAATATTAAAAAGAGTATTAGAAAGAGCTCGAAATGTCAATTTGAAATTCAATGCGGAAAAATGTAATTTTCAGGCTTCAGAAGTGAAGTATTTAGGCCAAGTATTCAATTCTGAAGGAATGAGTCCTGATCCTAAAAAAATTAATGCTATTTTGGATTTACCTATTCCTCAAAATGTTGCAGAAGTAAGAAGATTTTTAGGTATGGTCAACTACTTTGGAACATTCATTCAGAATTTGGCGGATAAAACTTATAATCTTCGTTTATTATTGAAAAAAAATATTGCTTGGCATTGGACAGATTCACATCAAAAAGAATATGACTCGCTGAAAATAATAATCTGTCATGTACCTGTGCTAACATATTATGAGCAAAAATTTCCATTAAAGTTGTCTGTTGATAGTTCAAAATTTGCAGTTGGAGCAGTGATAATGCAAAATAATCGCCCAATTGCATTCTCTTCAAAGTCATTAACAGATTGTCAAATGAAATATGCGCAAATTGAAAAAGAATTGTTTGCAATTCAGTTTGGGTGTCGACGTTTTCATCAGTATATCTATGGACAGAAAGTTGTTGTAGAAACCGATCACAAACCATTGGTAGTATTGTTCGATAAACCTTTGTTGAATGTACCATCGAGGCTTCAACGTATGATGCTGAGTTTACAACAATATGATTTAGAAGTTATTTACACTCCTGGTAAAAATCTTTTCATAGCAGATACTCTCAGTAGAGCACCTGTTGAACCAGCTGATCTGGATGATTCGTTAGAGGAAGAATTACGTATTCATATGAATTTCTTCGTTTCCAATTTAGCAGTTTCACCTACTAAGCTAGAAGAAATAAAAAAGGCTACTTTGGAAGATTTAGATTTGCAAATAATAAAAAATTATTGTCTCAGTGACTGGCCAAAGTCTAAAAGTGAAGTAAGTCCATCGGTCAAGAATTATTACAATGTTCGTGACGATATTCATACGATTGATGGTTTGATTTTTAAAAATCACAGACTTGTGATTCCTGAAAGTTTGCGTAGCCAGATGTTAGATATTATTCATGAGGGTCATTTGGGTATTGAAAAATGTCAAAGACTATCTCGAGATTCGATATATTGGCCAAACATTAGTGTAGATATAAAAAATAAAATTGAGCAGTGCACTTCTTGTTTAAAATTTCGAAATGCTAATCCCAAACAACCCTTATTGCCTCATGATATTCCAAATTATCCATGGCAGAAAGTTGCAGTGGATTTTTTTCATTATGAAAATATAACGTATCTGCTTGTAGTTGATTATTTCTCAAAATATTTCGAAATAACTTCCATGAAAATAACTACTGCCAAAGAAGTAATTATTAATCTCAAATCTATCTTTGCAAGACACGGTATTCCCTCAATTATCATTTCTGACAATGGTCCACCATTCTCGTCATTAGAATTTAACAATTTTCTCAAGGAATGGGATATTATTCATTATACTTCAAGTCCTAATTATGCAAGAAGTAATGGTTTAGTTGAACGTATGGTAGGAATTGTGAAAAATATTTTTAATAAATGCCGTGAATCGAAAACAGATCCCTATATAGGCTTATTGCAATATAGAAATTCCGCACTGAGCTGTGGATTTTCTCCTGCTCAATTACTCATGTCTCGTTGTCTCAGAATGAAACTTCCTGTCAGTGAAGATATTTTGAAGCCAAAAGTAATTGATTTTGATGAATATAATAGTAAAGTTGAGAGTAATACTAACAAAATGAAATCTCATTATGATCAACATACAAAATCACTTCCACCATTGAGAGAAAATGATGAAGTGATGTATAAAAGAATGCCATCATCTCCATGGTTGCCTGCAACTGTTGTTCATGAAGGGCAGTCTCCTAGGTCATATATTATCAAAACACCTGATGGGGCCGAATATTGTAGAAATCGACAACATCTGATGAAAGCTAATGCAACCATACCATCAGCTGCTGTTGGAACTGATATTGAACCAAATAATCATTCTGTTAGTGGGAATACAATACGACATGACCTAGAGTCTGAATGTGGAAATGATACGAATGTTATGGTCACCAGAAGTGGTAGGCAAATTGTTAAGCCACCACGATTTTCTTGCGCTTCCGAAATTGATGTTAACAAGCCTAGTACTAGCTATAGACATTAGTAATATTTAGTGTTAATATTTAGTGTTCATAATATTGTTTGTTGAAATAATAATTATTTCATTTCTTCAGAAAAGAGCGTGTTATGATGATAGATCAAGATTCTGTATATAACTGGTATTCGTCATGTATTGCTAGGGAGATAGGGAATTGTCAGTAGATACTTGACATGCATGTAACTCAATCAGTCAATAAACGTCTCAAATTAATATCTGATTATTTATACAATAAATAACATAACAGATGTAATATGAAAAATATACATTTTATCAATTAATACCAATAAAACTGAATATATATTATTCCATCAGAAAAATAAACAGAATATTAGTCTCAATCTCCAAATCACAAATGAATAAGCATTGAAAAGAACTATACAAATAAAGTATCTTGGTATGTGGATTGATGAAAAATTGAAATGGGAAGAGCATATAGAGGTTCTGATACAAAAAATATCTCCAATTATTGGAGTTTTGCGAAGATGTCCTAAAGAAAAAAGTCATAAACATAGTACTTCAGCCTCATATACTCAGTCGTATTACCCATACGATAAACCTTTGGGGATCTTGTTCAAAAAATTATTTCAGTAAAATATCTGCACATTATAAGAAATCACTGAAAGTATTGTATCATCTCTCATTTGATATCTCAACAAATTATCTGTATGCGATAACAGAAAAAATTTCGTTGGATGAATTATATAAAATAAATTCTCTCAAAGTTTCATATAATATCATAAACAATAATCTGAAATCCAATTTTGTTTTGATAAGAAACTCAGAAATTCATGGTCATCACACGAGACAATTAAACTCATTTTATCTTGATTCTGCTACTTCTATAATTGGCCAAAAAAAATTTACTCACGTTGCTCTAGCTAAATTCAATAAATTACCACATAATATAAAAAATTGCTACTTTGCCATCTACTGATTAGTCCCTGTGGCTATTTTTATGAATTGATCGATCTAGCATTTTCAGATTTTTTAGTATTTTTTGTTGTCGTTGTTGTCACCTTATATTATTTTATTATTGTTGTTTGTAATCAACTTCCTAATACCAGAATTCTATTTCTGACTGGAAGCTAGTTTCTCAATAAACAATAAATAAACAATAAAATAAAACTTTGTTTACTTTGAAATTATATGTTGGCGTTGTTAGTGATTGTCTGCAGGTGAGAAGCACAAGAACATTTAATTTCTGATTATTGCAACCTTAGTAGAATATGAGATGTACAGCGTATCTCATTTCAAACACCCCCCCCCCTCCTCTATATCTCAGCTATTAGTCGTGCGATTCGTACACATTTGGACCGGTATGAATAACCATCAATATGATCAGTTTTTTTCAGACACGAACATCATTTTGGACAGTGCCGTGCTTTTAATTGAAATAAAAAGTGGTCGATTTTCATGAATACACCCTGATATCTCAGTTATTAATTATGCGATATTCTTAGAATGGGCTTATATCACAAAAAAAAATTATTTCATAATTCGATAGAACTCACCCAAACTAGCTCACCGCTGCAAACCGTTTGTTGCTGTGAGCTCCCTACGTTTTATAAAAAAATATTGTAATCCCCGATTTTTCGGACCTCTGAAAACGAGGCGATGATGTGACGTCAAAACCCTAATACTGAAAGACTATTCCAGACAGAGATGAATGATACATGGTTTCTGACAGAGTGAATTAGCGCGAGATCACAGTTGAAAGAATTAATATATCAGCTGCCTCAGTGTCCGTCGGGCGTTTGGTATTTTCTTTTAACTATGGCAGGATGAGGTTTCTACGTCATAAGAGGGTCCGTTTTCAGAAGGTACTATTATTTATGTCCAAAAATAAAACATTCCAGCTGATTTTTCGATCGAATTATGGCGTCAATCATTATTTATTATGTATAAAAGGATCATTATAAACATGGTTTGAGTTAAAAGTTCTACTAAGGAGTACACGCCCATTTTGGTGGTGATTGTATGTTAGAACAATGAAGTATTTAGCCGAAAGAACATCAGTTTCATTCACCATTGGCATGCGACGTTGAGGAGTACAAAAAACGCCTTTATTCGGGAAAAGAGGATATTAGGGCTCAATTTAAATAACTTTTTTATCAGATTCAGAATAATCATCCCCAAAAAGCCCCCAATTCATATTTTCAAAATCCCAAGAAAAATTAAAAAATTCCGCTTTTCATGACTACGTCCTGAAATCTCAGTTATACATGATGCGATTTTCTAGAAATTGTGATGGTGATTGTATTATTTTTCTCTAATCAGAGCACCAAATTTGTGGAACTCATTGCTGGTAGTCCGGGCTAACTGATAAAAACTGAACTTTTTCTACTATCTTTTCTCGACATTGAAAATGAAAGAAAATTGAATTCGAACTCAATATGATTTTCTCTTTCAGCGATGAACAACAACGCAAGTTTATACGAGCTTTACCTGAGCAAACGCGCTGCCGTTCAGAACAAAGTCACCATAGAAAACGTCCTGTAACCGGCCCACTTCAGCAATTCTTCGAGAGGTCCCTCAAAACAGCAGGGTTAGTTCATTATGGAAAATCCACTAGTTTTGATTTTTTTGTATTGCGATGACCCCCAAATATCTATCAGATAGCTGATTCGACTGAAAATGTGTGAACGGAGAATATTTGATGGGATAGATATACATTTATCTTTCTTTTGAGAATGTCAATATGCTTTCCCCATGTCAACTCATCAATCCAAATACCAATATTTGGTACCGTCAGTTTGTTTCAAACGTTCATTTTTTATTCTCATATTCAAATCAATAATAGCAATTATTCGATGAAAAGTGTGATATATCGAGTCTATCTATCTAATCAACAGAGAGAAGATTGAATCGAAGGCATTGAAGCCATTAATTTCTTTTTTCTATGACTGTTGAAAACTAGACCCTTTTAATGTAACATTTTTGTTGGGTAACTGGATGCATTACACAAAACAAGCCACGCCCCGTGTGTAAGAGCCTTTACACAACAGGCTATGGCCAATCAGCAACAAAGCAGATTCATTACCTACAAAACAGTTGACACCAGTTGTAATGATAATATGGGGCATGCAGTGAAACGTTTGAATCAGACTCGTCATGAAATGTCATAATTTGACAATAGCTATCTGGCGTGATTTAGAACTGACTTTTTGTACAAATATGGATTCAGAAAGCGAAAATGAATTCAACTGCTCTCCACCATCAGAAGTTTTGAAAGCTGCCAATTCAAGTACAATCAGCCTTTTGCCCGAGGAATCTAAAAAAAGGTATGAAGTGGTTTGGCGAAAAGCAAAACTTGCAAATTCGTTTTCGGATAATGTACTGCTAGCCTATTTTGGCGAATTAGCAGCTAAACACAAAGCATCCTCCTTGTGGTCACAGTATTCCATGCATATACTAAGAAGCACAATTTCAATAAAAAATCATGTGAATATTGACAAATATTTGAAATTACGAGCATTTCTAAAAAGGAAATCTGATGGATATATGTCAAAGAAAGCGAAGATATTCACTGCTACTACTTGCGTGTAATGGCTATTACTCATTCGAATGATTACGACGTTCGCCTGCGCCTCACGTCGCAAACTTCATTCTCATGAGTAATGGCCATCATTACACGCTCGTCGAATAATATACTATTTTCCGAGCTGAGTCCTCATCATTTATGATATATTTCAGTATTACATGCAGTAACCTCTATTGCACTTTCGTATTTTTTTATCATTTCCAATTATTTTCCAGGGTGACAGTAAGTCGCAGTGTATCCAAAACCACGGAGAAGCATCGGCAGGGTAATGCAAAGAGTACGCAGATTCGAAAACGAGAAGACAGCTGCTGGGATGCATGTGGAGGAGATAGTACCAGAGCAGTGACAGCAGGTATGTACATAGACGAAAATACAAGGTGTTCTTCTAGAAATGTAAACTATTATAAGTGCCAAATAACGTTCCAGAACTTTGCTGAAGTTTTTTTTTCAACTTCACCCCCTGGAGTTACATGTATACTCGTCAGAAAACACCTTGTATGGATTGGTACATCTTTCAATCTTTTTCTAAAGTCATATCATATTTATTTAGAACATCTGCTATACATTAATCCCAATATACCTACTCTTCAATGAAATATTCTTTTCTTTTCTAGTTCCATATCCACCAGGAAGAAAACCTGCCATCTATGATCCCATCGCTAGATCTATAGCCGACTATGTGGTTAACAATGTTCCACATAAATTACCTAGTGTGAGTTGAACGTCCGCATTTTTTTTTTTTTTCAATTTCAGGAACGAGTGAGACTTTTCAAATTCTGAAACCAAAGCTATAGCTTTTCACATGTCCGTAGTACGAAATTCGGCGAAGAATTCTTGAAACTTAACAGTACTAGAGCTATATACTGTTACTGAAATAAGACGATTTTAACAAAATTTTTACTGACTCTATGATGAGATGATTATTATAAACTTTTACCTCTATACTAAATAATGCTCTGTCAAACCCTCAGAGGATTATTTTCTTGAAAACTTTATGACTGAGTACATATGCCTTTCAGGACTTTTGTTTTGATTTTCTAAAATCGATAGGCACACAGATGACCAGATTCAGTAACCTCATAAACTGACTTCAGAGCACTATGGTTATACAGTGGTGGAATCGTCTTATTTCAGTTTCAGGAATTACAATTCATTGGAAGATTTATTATTCAGGAGTGCCTTGTTCGCCAATTCGAAATATTAATTTTATTTGTTCAGATTCTCATATTAATGCTTGATCCATTAATTTTCGTGGAGCAGAAATTCGAATTACAATCAGTTGAAATTTCTCACTGGTTTCCTGAAAATTCAATCCTAAAATATGTTCTGTCTGAAACGCACATTAGAAGTATTTCGAATTATCACAGTGATACTTGATTGTCGTGTCTCATAGTGAAAAATCCCGGCATTTCACGAAACGAGTAATATCAACCTAGAGGAAAAAGAGTTAACCTGTCACATTCAATATTTTCTTCCTCAACAGGGAATGTTAGAAGTTTTTTTGTATACCAACAGAACTGTTGTTGATATGATTAAAACGATTGGAATTTTCGGGGACTGCAGCATTGAAAACTATTCCAATTTTTCGATAGCTTGGCTTAGCACTTATTTGAAGCCCAACTGACATGTCCCCAAAAGTTCTATTCATATTAAGGTCGATAAATTAACCGTCATAATGATATAGGATAAAGTATCATGAAATGATACTTCACTAGGCGACATCGACTATGCCATTATCGGTTAAATCTTGTGGTTAAAACTTCGTAATACATTCGCCATTATTGTTAATACGATGAGCCTATTCGTTTGTATTCGCTCAGCCTGCTAGAATGAACAGAATGAACCATAGAAAATAAACCAACTTCTGCAGGTTGAGCAACACTAACAAACAAACCTCTACCTAATGTGCATTTCAGCAGGAACAGAGTGGACAATCTAACCAGACCATACGAAACTGTACGTGACCGACTAACAATCAACTAACAAAACATCAACCGACAGACCAGACGAACAGTCAGTCTGTCCATCTGGCTACCCCGACCAGGATAGCCAAATGAACCGGGCTATATACTTTTTTCGACTGGTCCATTTCTGGTTACCATACCAGACTGCACGCGCTGACTAACAATCCTCTGACCAAACATCAACCAACAGACCATAGAAGGACCAATCGAGCAGTCAGTCTGCTATCTGACTACCCGGACCAGGATAGTCAAATGGACCGGACCAGACACCTTTTTCGACTGGTCCTTCTACCGACTAACAATCAACTAACAAAACATCAACCGACAGATCACAGGCGGACCAGACGAACAATCAGTATGTTCATCTGGCTACCCCGACCAGGATAGCCAAATGAACCGGAATATGTAGTTTTTTCGACTGGTCCGTTTCTGGTCAGTTCATTGCCAGATCACCGCATACAGTTTCGTCTGGTCAGACACCAGACCAGACTGCACGCGGCGACTAACAATCCTCTGACCAAACATCAACCAACAGACCATAGAAGGAACAATCGAGCAGTCAGTCTGTTATCTGACTACCCAGACCAGGATAGTCAAATGGACCGGACCAGACACCTTTTTCGACTGGTCCTTCTACCGACTAACAATCAACTAACAAAACATCAACCGACAGATCACAGGTGGACCAGACGAACAATCAGTATGTTCATCTGGCTACCCCGACCAGGATAGCCAAATGGACCGGAATATGTAGTTTTTTCGACTGGTCCGTTTCTGGTCAGTTCATTGCCAGATCACCGCTTACAGTTTTGTCTGGTCAGACACCAGACCAGACTGCACGCGGCGACTAACAATCCTCTGACCAAACATCAACCAACAGACCATAGAAGGACCAATCGAGCAGTCAGTCTGCTATCTGGCTACCCCGACCAGGATAGCCAAATGGACCGGTATAGACGCATTTTTCGACTGGTCCTTCTTCGGACAGTTGGTAGATGTTTTGTCGGTTGATTGCTCTAGACGACCGCGTTCAATTTTGTCTGGTCAGCTACTGGACTAATAGCTGGACTGATCAAAATGAAGGTTCTTCCGATCCGTCCGGCTAGCATCTGGATAGGGAGAATACTACCACTTCTTTGTTCTAGGTCCCATGGATGAGGAAAATGAACTAGGCGAACTTTTGTATTAGAAATGTAAATGTAGAATCAGGACAGCTGAATAAAACATTCGGGTAATGAAATACAGTTAATTATTTACAGTTTTCTTCAAGTTATAGACCTTATTCCAATCATATTACTATTAGGTTTTCCAATCAGTACCTACTGAAAGTGTTAGTGGGTAGGTTGGTAGTTCACTCCTTATAATATATTGGACGGGTTGGGTTGATGTTGGTGTAGTATGCCTTCACTTACCATAGCCAATAGGGTAGTAATAGCTGTTTATATATCAAGGAAGGAAAGGTATCCACTTCCTCCCACGTGTGAAGTTTGTTGCACGACGCGTAGCGGAGGGCGTTAAACATACATGGGAGGAAATGAACCTTCGCTCCCATGATATATATATGATTTTATCAACGAAAGCATTCTTTCAAAGCATCCAAATCATTATGCATTTACAAAGGTTATAGTATGCCATGGACAATTGACGGCATTGTTACTTGTTTTATAATAGTGATAAAGACACTGATGACTTGAACTGCACAGATTTTATAGGTATATGGACGCGAAAGGATGCATGCTGAAGCCATTTTTTTACATTCCACGGGAGTTAATATTTTTCTCCTCCCGTGGGAGTAAATTGACATTCAGTGAGTCGATAAAGATACCTACTACCCTGTCGGGTAGGCAGGTGAAGTAAGCTGTACCAATAACCTACCTAAACTACTCACTTGACCTTATCAGGTTGAGTAGAGTGAGCTACCAACCTACCCGCACCTAAAAGGTATTACAGATTTGTACCGTGTGGCCTGCTCAAAACCATCCACCCGAATAGCTCCCTCAACCTTCAATGAGGAGAGACTGAGGATACGTCAATTTCAATTTTCGTTACCCTAGAAATGAATAAGATTGAGTCCTCAGCCTCTCGTTGTCGAATTATTGGTTAGGGTTATTCAGGGTGAATTTACTTGAGTAGGTCACTCGGTATCATAGTATTGCGTGAAATGACACATTATAGACTGGCCCTGGCTGAATAACGTTCGTGAATCAGCATTTAACATATATTATGAAATAATTTGATCTTGAACTTTTTGAATCATTGATTTGGTTAGAGAATGAAACCATAAAAGAGCGATGAGAAAAAACTACAAGTGTCTGCCTGGAAACGACAGAAAAAATGATTCAAATTCATCTGCCTAGGCAGAAATATTATTTTTTTATGAAACTCAGAATGAATCATCAGTGTTATACAAATCAACATTGAAATTTAAATAATTACAGTACAGGGTAGGTAAATCGATGGTTTAGTGTTTCTGGGAATTACTCTGAAACTATGAGTGATCAACAAAAAAACGATTTCGTTACCAATTTCGAGAATGAATATTCTCAGATATATTATGAACATGAAAAATATATAAAAAAAAACATAGAAAATTCACATCTTTTCAACGGAAACAGCTTATTTCCTGTATAAACCAGGATTGTTTATCTTTTGCGACTGTCAAGGTACGGAGCGTTTTTGAAATATTAGAATATATTAGTGATTCAAATCAAAAATCAAACATGACTTTTTCATGGCACTCTTATGAACGATGATACAAATTTATGCATGTTACGATTATCGAGATATATACCTTCCAAAAACGATCGAATTTAGCCCACTCTGTACAATCGACCTGATACATGTAAAAGATTATAAAAAAACTTACATCTAAGGGTAATTTCAATGCCACGGGACATCTCTAGGTTGTGATATAGACCCTAACTTTATATATTTCACTGTGTGGGCCAGAGAGGTCAGCGAATTTCCGTTTGAACATTTTCCAGAAAATCCCGGTTCTGTTGTGATTTGAGATCCGTCCCCTTTCAAAACCGCCACTGGCTTCCAGGAATTGATATAATTCACTAAAAAACAAAATGGTCGGATTAATACAAGCTTTCAAACTACAGTACTGTTATTTCAAATTGTTGCTGTCGAATATTGATTAAACCCATCCGTCCTGGAATGCTATTTTCAATCTCATGCAAAAGTCAGTTTTTCATTGAGTCCAGCCGAACTTAGACAGTGCAAATTCCTTGCTGCCTCCAAATCTACAGTTGTTTCCGAAACTACCGAAACTGGAAATAGCATACCAAAATATTCCGAATTGGCCGAGAATGAATGAATGTTTCTACATGGAGAAGTAATTGATAATGTCAACTATGAATATTGCATACTCTACGCAGGCATTTCAAAGGTCTTGCCTACATGACTGGCATATATGAGTGGACCAACAAATGCGCATCTGAGAAAGAAAATCGACGTGACTAAGCATTTTTCCCAATGGCTATATTGAGTCCAACCTGCAGATGCTCACTGTATAATATATTTTTTTTCAAATTATGTGTGTTTGACAGTTTTCAAATGAACAGTGATGAGAATCAGAATTGACAGTGTAAGATTCGAGTGATTTTTCATACTTTCATATTGAAGGGAGAATCATTATCTAGCAGATCCCTCTGTTTGTATAGTCAAGATGTTGATTCCAAAAGTTTCAAATCAGATTTTGATGCAGTACCCCAGATTAATATCAAGTACTGCAATTCAGAGTAAATCGAACTGAAATAAATCAATTTCAATCATTTAAAAGGTAAAAGACTTTATTTTGTAGGATATACCAACAATGGAAGATATTTTTTCCCTAAGCATTTGTAAATGCGATGACCATTATAGAGCATGGTCTATGCTGGTCTATTTATAGTTAAACCAAAGAGTTTAAAATGCTGGACTTCACAAATATGTCAAATTTTCAAGAGACAGTTGTTGTCATGAGTAGTTCTTTCATAACGAGATGTTATATTGAGTGTTGGAATGATTGAAATGTAATCACTTGCTTAGAATCGTCTTTTCAAGGGCACTTTTCCCTAGTGATGAATGAAAGTGAATGAAGTGATGAAGGAAACGTGGTCTATATAGAGGTTTCTTCATTTCATACCAACTCAGGAATGTTTGGAAATCACCGTTTCTTCAATATTTCATGTAAAGTACCTACTGAATAATAGCCTTTGCCGCCCCAGGAATTAACTTAACTAGAAAATCACGAAATTGTTTCGAGATGTTGATTGGAGCAATCCAGCTCCATGAAGTATTCATAACTTCACAAGCACATTACCGTAGCAGTATCAGATTTCACAAAATCTCACACATTATTCAAAAAAAGCTCATTTTGTTGTTGTCGAGAGTTCTGCTGCTCTTAAAACCAAGTGGATAATTTCACCAGGATAGAATTCGATAGCATTAAAGTGCAGTACGGTTTAATATCGCCTGAACTTTTTTAAATTTACAGAAATGCATAAAAATACAGAATATCGAAAAATATCCATATTTCACATTATATATAAGGAAGCAGTCCGAAATTCCAAAACCATATCGAGATATTGACTTGAAGAGTTGAGGAAGTTGATTTGCAGAAGAAACAATTCCTGAGAAATACCGGAGCTCCTGAACTTTTTCGATTATGTAACACTGTTTTAGACCACTTGGTATGTCATAACTTGAATACTTCGAGAAGTTTCGAACAATGAATCCGAAACAGAAAGGACGCATCTTTTGAACACTGCATTCCGATTGAAAATCGGTTCATTTGCAAAAAAGTTACCGCATTTTAAAAAACGTCGAAAACTCGAGTGGTCGACTTAATTCTTTGAGCCCTTTAGATCAACACAACTTGTATTCGTGATTTAAAGACTTGACAACTTTCAAGAATAAGCGATGAGACTCACTCTTGAACATCCTGACGCAGCCGTCATCACCGCTAGAGGACAGCACCGTGCCAGTCAGGTTCCAGCACACCCGCCACACGAGGCTGTTGTGGTCGTCGAATTGGGCGATGGTTTCCACTCGCAGTTTCGTTACCCCGCTTTGGGCACTCTGTTCGTCCCTAAAAAATAGTAGATTGTTTCATTAGAATCAAAAGTGACACTTTGTTTGACAAGCGAGTCAAACAAAGTCATATTTGATCCGAATGGGTCGATTTTTCATGAGACCATAATAAGATTTTTTTGCAGGAAACATAACTTCACAGTATATAAAATTCCTTGCTTTCAAAAAATTGAAGTGATTGCCATTCCCAAGTCTTTCTTGAGATTTTTAGATTGTACTGAATATAAGAATTGACAAATTAACTTTGGAGTGAAGTCAAACATTTTTGATCATTCTAATTCCTAAAAGACTTGTAGTTTGCTGAGGTGACGTTCTGAAAACTTAACCTGAAATTGTCCATTTTGACAAATATATTCCTGACTCACACTATGGGCGCCAAATTGATGATCCTAACAAAGTGACACACAGCTCACTGCGTCGAAGTGGCCTCTCAAATAATAATAAAACTATGAATAGGTGGGCTCTCAAATAATAAAACTCTGAATAAGAACGCTAATTTTATTCTTTTTTCGAAAATAATCATATTTGATAATTATTCTGTACGTCGTCATCGCATCAACTGGCCAATGGACTGTCCTGTGTAAAGAAATTTAAGGTCGTCTGCTGTCTGCGATCTGTCTGGCCGAGACCTGGAGGCAGTGTTGCCAATGAGGCAGTCCAAAATCACAGAAAATGTTAGTCCTGCCATGACACAATTTTGAAAATCGAATATTCACCCTTGATCCTGAACATTTATCCATGTTCGCTATTTAAAAAGTAGCTTGGTAGTTGG